TATATTGGCAATTTAAGCAAACGTAGTTGGTAGGGGGGGGCGGCTAGTAGTAGGAGTAGTAGTAGTAGTAGTAGAAGTAGTAGAAGTCAGTAGGGCTAGTAGGAACACGATCCGTTTCCGGCCGTGGTTCTTGCTAAATGTTTTTGTAGTTCTCGCACTTAAGAGCTGTATTTCGGTAGCAACATGTGTATCGACGAAGTGCGGTCCACGATGCTGTTTTCAAAAGCATCGAATTTTGGGTTTCGGATTTTTGCAGGTCAGTACGCACCAGACCAGAGTTTCGGCAAATATTCATTGTGATTTTCCTGCAAATTTGCAGAACGCCCTTTCCCAGCTGTTCCTCCTTTTTTGCATTTTCTTTTCTGACTTCATAGCGCCCGCGTTTTTTGACGGTCTCGCGTGCTTAAAACATCTTCAAACCCTAGTTTCGGTGCGCTCGATTTTTTTAGATGCCTTCGCCTTTGTCTTGTGTATCGGGGAAATACCAAGCGCTTCGTTTTTGAGATGTGCTTCTCGGAGAGCTTTTCCGTTTTTGATTTCGTCAGTTCCGCGCTGCTGTATGCTTTGAAGACCGCCGTAGGCTTGACCTCGTCGTGTACGGAGCCACACCGCATGGCGGTGCATGGTGCTGCAATGCCACCCTGGTATCCTCGCTGATGCGCACTGGGCACCCGCAACCATGCACCGTTGCCGTCGACGGAGCCGCGCTGCGAGTGGCCGAGCGACGCAAGCACGCGGCGTGCTTGCGCGTGCAGGGCCGCAAAGGCTCGTCGTGCTCGGCTCCGAGGTGGGCGGCCGGTGGAACGAGGGGGCGCGCAACTTCCTCAGCCAGCTTGTGCGAGTGAGGGCCCATCGAGCCCCACCAGCCATCCGCGCAGCGGCCGCGGCACAAGCTGTGGCTAGCACGGCATTGGGCGGCCCCTGGCAACAGCCTCTTGCGGCCGGGCACATGTTGTGCTGCAGTGGGCCGACCCTGCCGGCCCAAGCCGCTTCCCTTTGCGGGCCTGAGCCGTTCCAGGGCAGCTACTGTAGCGTACAAGGAGGCTTTGTGGATCAGGCGTAAAAAGGTTCGCGAAAAAAAAGAAAAACATAGAAAATTTAACCAGTTTCTGCACGCTCAAGTTGTTATCGTGCAGCAAGTACCGCGTTGTTTTTTTCTCGCAGGTGCTTGTTTGAGTGCACTCATTGGGTTGGCAGGGGGGGGTGCGAGGGCTTGGGGGAGAGTAGTTATGTGACAGTTATGTGCAAGCTACGTGCAGCTGCGGACATTCATGTGAAAGATACTCGGGCTTCCGCATTGCGCGTAGAGGCCTGGGGGCCCCTTCAAGAAGCAAGGGCTTCTTCAACAAACCGAACGGTTTGCCTTCCAGCTTCCACGCTGTCGTAGCCTCAAAATGCCAGTTTCGGCATGTTCGAGAATTTTTTCCATGCCTCAGCCTTCGTCAGAAATTTGAGGTAAAAGTGCCGAACCCCAAAGACTTGTGAAAAAGATCAGTGAACATATGAAATCCCAAGAGCCCCTGCAAGGAAAACGTCCGAAGCATAAATATGTAGACTCAGGGGTCCTTATAATTCTTTTTGACAGAACTTAAAGTACGCACGAAAGGTGGCGGAGGGTGTTAAGGCTGTCAAGGGTTATTTAGATACAGGATTAGAGGGCCAGCTGCACCTCTCGTTGGGGGTGGTTAGGGGCCTTGGGGCTACCCGCATTTGCAAACTTTCATACATCTTGTTTACTTTATTTGGTTTGGAGTGCGAGCTTAGGGTTGTGTAGAGTTTGGGGTTGTTTAGGTTGTTTATTGTTCATGACTGTTGAATTCAGGGTTCTTTATGGCTGGGGGGTTGTTTAGTTTAGGGTTTAGGGCTGGCGACTGAAACTGGAACGGGAAAAGGGAAAGCGCCAGGGGTTTGGCGTTCAAGCTAGTGGGCTTAAACACCCTGGTAGGGAGGACGCATTTGTAGGCACCAATTGTACTGAGCCCGATTTTCTAGCCAACCTCAGGGGTTGCAAGTAGTAGTTGTCGTCACGTCGTCGTTGTCGTGGTAGTAGTCATCATCGTCTTGGACACAGGTATGAAGTCACTGTGTCCTGTGTACCCTTGACATGGCGATCACTTACAATGAGGACACATGAGCCAACCTCGTCTCATTTTCAAGGTTTTCAGTGATCTGTTGCAAGCTACATCCCAACAGCAAGGACAACAAATGCTTCCTGCACGCTGCTTTTTCTTCAGTAACGTCCCCAGGGGTCCCAACATTACAAGATCTTTGTCTCTTGTTGGTCCGCCTCTGTTCCTGGACGTTCGCCTTGAAATCTGGACTACTCTGACTACTCCACGCTTCTGCCAGGATGGTCGAGCTTGTGCAACATGTCTGAGCCGGCCTTACAGTTCCACTGCAGCCCTGGAGACTCGATGGGAAACTATGTGTGGCCGAGGCTGGGGATCCTGTTCTGTGTTTAAGGTAAGGGCCTCACAAGATATTGAAGTCGATGCGATTTCAGTATTTCAAGCTGTCGGCCAGAACCAACGATCCTTGTTTTCAGGAACTCTGACTGTAGAATGGGGAAGAGGAAGTGGCTATAAGCACTTTAGCAGGCCTCAAGGGGTCTGCAACATGGAGTCCGAGACAAGAAGAGCCTGGACATCACTGGCCGAGCCTCTAATGGCAGATGCGGCGTTGAAGTTAGGAAGGGCAGCGGAGCATTGACGCGCATCATTGAATCACTATGGCATGTTGCGAGATTACTGAGTGTTTGGGTGTGATACCAGGCTAAGAGCGGAAGGCGTAGAGTTTAGAGAAGCAATTTCTGATCGCTGTAGAGCTGCCTCAGCAGTGAAGGTCTATTAGCAGAGACCTTTCTGACACTGCGTCAGCAAGTTGTGGACCGGTTCATTGGATAGCTGGAGTAGGAGGGATTAGCATCGCAGGCGCCTTGATGCTTTCCTCAATGCGCAAGGCCTGGGTTACCACCGAGCGTCCAGTCATCAGTCATGGCAGCTTGTTCTGGTTTTGTGACCTATGTTTGCTTCTGTGGTGTGCCTGACTGCATGATGTATGCTAGCGCGGTCGTGCCTTGATTCAGGCTACTTTCGGCTGGCGTTCGACGGCAGCGCGCTAGAACGCTTTCCGCTCAGTGTACGACACTGATTGAGCCACAAGTCGGGACACATCAGAGGACGTCAAGAAAACTGACTGTTCGGCCATTCTGCAGACAAGAAGGTGGCAGCGCGAGACATGGAAGCCTAGAGCACACTGACCAACATGCAATTCTGTAGGAAACAATTGGAAAGAGACCCAGGCGGCTATCCGTACCCCAATCTTTTCAGCAACACATGCAGTCCATAGGCTGTCATGGAGGCTGAAGGCTTCCAGGTCTCCATGCTCACTAGCCGCACCGGATGAAATGGCTACGCATTCGTTGGAATTCCAGTCAGGCCTTCCAATGGATGCTGTCATCGCATACCTTAGAGCCAGCCTCAGCTGTCTGAAGCCTTGGCTGTCTTGGAAGAGGGGATTCTTCTACCGGTCCTTGGCTTTGTGGGAACTTCCTGATATTTCATGGGATTCTTTTTTGAACCACTTCTCAAACAATCCAAAATGTTAGGACAGGACCTGCTGCATGAAGTCGGTGTTCTGAGCAGTGAGCCTTGACGGGCACTGGTTTCTGTAGGTCTGAACTCCGAACGAGAAGAAGATCAAAAGGGTGGTTTGCCAAATTCATTCTTTTTATGTACGAAAAATGGTTGAGTTTGGTCACGGTTCGGTCTTTCACCAAGGGTTATGCGCATTTGTGTGCGCAATTAGACCGCGAGAGCCAAGCGATGCGGGAGCAGAAGTTTGAACCCAAAGTACAAAGCACTTCCAGGCGAGGGCATGGCTGCCCCGCACGACCTGCGAATGTTTCTGCCAATGACCTTCGTGCAGCCCTCTGGCGAGTCAAGGCCACGGCCTTAGCGATGCTAGGCTTTGAGCTTCGGGCTCAGGCGTAGGCGGCCCCTCCTTTGACTGCGAAGAAATTAGATTCTCGTCCTGGGCACTCTTTGAGAAGCCTCCTAGGCGAGGGGCTGCAAATAGTACCTGAAGTGATAGCCAACTTGCCCCTGAATATTTTAATCTCTGCAGCCGGCTGATGTCGAGCATTCCTTGATTAGTATTGGCAATGCCAACTTAAATGGCAGAGGAATATTGCAGGCTCAAGGGGAGACAGGAGATCTAGGTTCTCAGGCTTCTTGCCCGCTCCTCTTGTCACAGGTTATTGCGTTCCATTTTCGGCTTTACGGCCCCAGACCTGAATGATACCACCTTTCGAACGGCCTTCAAGGCCGCCCTGCATTCACTGTGCGTCCACTGTGGCCTGCGCCAGTTCACCTCGCTGTCTGGCAGGATTTTGTACAGAATGAGCTGTACTCTTCCTTGCAGAAGGCTGGAAGTGCACTGACAACGAAGGAGCCTCCGCAAGCAGAAAGCCCGGGTAGTTGTTGGTTTCCCGGCTTCTCGGGCCCGCAACTTCCTCTGCTCACCGTTGACCCAAAAAAGGAGCGAGAAGGGATTCAGAGAAGATCCCGAGATCCAGCCGTCATTGATCCGCAACGTTCATGATTCTGTTCCGAGGGCCTTGCGTAACTCAGGCTGACAGGATCCCTGCTGAAATATGTGGACTGAAGCTGTAGTAGCCTTGCCACGGGCCGCAAAACACAGACACCTCCTACGTTGCGATGGGACACTGCGTGCACTGGCTGCAGGCCGTGATCGACACGCGAAAGCCAGTCTGGAGCCCTAGCTGCCCGGTAGTTGCATTCAGGCAACTTCCGGCTTCGCTCAGTACAAGCAAATCCTGCTGCAGGTGGATCCTGCGAGCTGGGATGAGTCGGGGCCTCGGCAGGCGAACACCAAGTAGGTGTGCCAATAGCACGTTAAGTACATGGCTGCTGCTTGCTGGCAACTACCAAGGCCGCCGGCAATCCAGATCTATTTCCGTGGGGACGTACTTGATGAGCATGAGCTCCTGGAAGCACTCCATAGCCTGGGGCTGGGATGTTATCTTTTTCGTTGGCTCTTTGAGATCTGACCAAATGCAGTTTGCATGAGCGCTGCAAAAGGTGACATGTTGCTCGCGATCGGGCCGCTTCGGCCCCAGCAGTTGGTGGTGAAAACCGGGCGCAGTTGCCAGCAAATGTGGTTGGCATGTGTATGCCTGTGCATGCCTGTGCTGTCGGGCTAACCTGTGACCCTACTAGGGGTTGTTGTGCTGCCCAAGTAAGGGAGGATTCTAAATAGTCCGGGTCGCCCAATGCAGTTTCGGCAAACTTGTGTTAGGGTGGGGGGTCTCGGGATCTGTCAATTACCTTTCCACTGCCGGGGATCATTCCGGTTCTCAAGGCAGAAACGAAAAGTTCGCTCTAATTCGTACCCATCATTATTCATCCTTTCAGCCAAAAGTTCGCTCCATTACTAACCCGTTTACCATTGCGACCCCCACATAACATAACTGTTCCCAAGCTCTCTGAGGTTACTTCTCAGCCTGGGAGTGGCCTGGGTGAAGCTGCGCAGTATTGCCCTCAACTGCATGCCCTCGCAATCATGCGCACATCAGTGAATAGCTGAGTGCGTGCTATTGTGCTCTATGCTGCAGGTGCTTTGCTTGCCATAGTTGGCACAACGCTGATGTGTCAGAGCCTCAAGTTCTTTCTAGGAATATGGGACTATATACTATAACGATTATACAGGCATTATAATCCCTGACTCCCCACTAAGCACCAGCAAGTTTCAGAGGAAGATGTAGTACAGCACTGACAGTGCTGACCTTTGAAAATGCTGCGACTTGCCACTCGCCACGAAGCGCTAATTCTGTCTTCGCACAACGACTGCGTAGTTTCACAAAATGAAGGGGCCCCAATATGGACCCCCAAATGCTGTTCCCTGTTATAGTGACCCTCCAATCTCCAATTTCAAAAAGGTATTTCCAATTTCAAAAAAGGTACCCCACATTTTGGGAAACCTCCACTCAATGCTGAGTGGATGTGTGCCTTGTACTGGGATAGTAGTTTCCATTTTTCTTATCATTATCCCCGATGTGACTCAGCCCTAATCCCTAATAGTAGTTTCCATGGTATCTTCCATTATTCCCTATGCAATCCCCATATTACTCCTACACAATCTGTATATATCCCCAGTTTTGCTCATTTTTGTTATGCCTGTATATCCCTAAGTACCCCCTATAAAGTCCCCATGTATCCCCTATATTACCTCTATATCAGCCCTATATGCCCTATTCTATACATATGTGTGTATATATATATATATTTATGGTAGTTTCCGAAAACAGGGGGACCCCAATATGGACCCCAAAATACTAGAGTCCTTATTATAGGCACCCCCCCCAAAAATACACCTAATTCTTGGGAAATCCCCATATAGACCCTTTGAGTATATAACCCCTATTTACCCCTGTATGATCCCTATATATCCCCTATATTACCCCCATATAATCCATATATACATATGTCTATCTAACCCCTTGCCTTGAACAATGATCTAACCCCCAGCCCTAAACCCTAATCCCTAAACCCTAAATAGTAGCTTCCAATTTATTTTCCATTATCCCTATATAACCCCAATATAACCCTTAATTTTCGGAGAGCCAATGACCAGCAGCACCTATATTACCCCTACATAATCCATATATACATATGTCTGAGTTTATTTTCCATTATCCCTATATAGCCCCAATATAACACTTAATTTTGGGAGAGCCAATGACCAGCAGCACCTATATTACCCCTATATAATCCATATATACATATGTCTAAATAACCCCTTGAATCAAGGATATACCCCCCAACCCTAATCCCTAAACCCTAAATAGTAGTTTCCATTTTATTTTCCATTATCCCTATATAACCCCAATATAACCCCTAATTTTGGGAAACCCCCTTGAGCCAATCATCGGTGTTGAATGAAGGTCTGGCCTCTCTGCTTGCGTATCTTCTCCTTCCAGTCCAGCAGGTGGGAAGTCGGAAGGAGCAAAAGAAAAAGTATAGTAATACAGTAAGACTAACAAGAATAGTACTAACAGTAAGAATGTAGTAGCAGAGTAATTATAGAGTAATAGAAATAGTATAGTAGGAATACAGGTAGGTATGTTAAAGATAGTAATAAGAGATAAAAGTAACACGTGGGCATAGGCATCAAACAATGATAATGCATCACAAAAATAATTTGGCAAGCATGAACAATTAATTTGAGCCGCAGGCCACGGGCTTCTTGGCTTTTTGTCTTTCCTGGCTTTTGGGACTGTTCTGCATGACATACAGGCCCCTGGCTTCGTGGCTCTTGTTCTCATGTGTTTTGATACCCCTGGCTTCGTGGCTCTTGTTCTTATGTGTTTTGCTGCTTTTATTCTTGTTCGTATTCGTATTACGACTCTTACTGTTCCCCCTTTTCTTCTTCTTGCTAACAGTATGGCCCTCAAATTTTTCTTTGCTTATCAACTTGTTTTTTTTATGCCGGGCGCAAACATTCATTTTTTCTTGATTTCTTTCTGCCACTTTTCAGATGATCAGCATTTTTGTGTTGACGCGTCACCTCGGGTGGGGAGTCTTTGTGTAGCTATGAGGTGCCAGGTCTTGCGAAAACCTTTTTTAGGAGTGTTACGGAGACTGTCCACCTTAAACGCACCCACCTCTTCATGGCTTCAAGTTCGGGGGGAACTTGCAATCCCAACAGTCCAACATGACATGCCCCAATAAGACCCCCATAAAACCCATAATTAACCCCTGTATAACCCCAATACCCCAATATAACCCCATAGAACCCAAACATCACGGCAGGTGAGCCCTGCCACCTTTCTTGGTGTTTTTCTTCTCTTCGGCCTGGGCTTCACCAGCATCTTCCGCATGCAAGAGGTGTGGAGACGGTCCCGAAGCTGCCTCAGTCGGAAATTTTACCATCAGACACTTCAGCGTATGAGCGACTGAGACTTGTGCTTGCCCGATATTGCGGCACATGCGGCCCATAATGTGTTGATGACGCTCAAGGAAATGAGGCGGAGGACTACTCCGATCGCCTCCTCTATGTACACCGTGTGGGGTGCCCTTGATCCGTTGCAGCTTCCCATCCTCTAAAGGGAGGGGTAAGACGCAATTTGTCATGAATGCTGCAAATTGCAAATGTCTTGCCTATAATTCGAGCATAGGCATGGGTGAAGACGTTGTAGACATGTCCTAGCCAGGGAGCCACAAACTCAAACAAACCCTTCTTCGTCACATTTGTTCGGAGATGGTTAACAAAGACTTTTGGATCTGCGGGCCGGGCTTTCCAGAATTCCCTGCGTAAATGCCCAGGCTGCGGTTCGAGAGATGCTGCCTGTGGTTGGGTCTGCCTGCTGCTTTTTCCTCAGACACAGCGGGGTGTGTGAGCATATGCGGCCGCCTTGACGTTCTGTTTTTCTGCGTCAGGTTGATTTTTGCATGAGGTTACTTCCTGCTGCAGAATTCCAAGCTGGTCCCCCTTCGTGAGTTCGGTTTTTTCATCGGCGTCTCCATGTTATTGGCTGCAGCCTAAGTCCCACAAAAAGCAGGATGCCATTCACTGTTTCATCGCATGCGGCCAACCGGGCAGTGGCTTGCAGTCCAGGTATGCGCGTTTGCCCTTCTATGCTTTGTGCCTTTCCTGCTCATGTCTCACTGGCCTGTTTTGCAGCCACAAACGTAGGTCCAGGCTCGCTGTTTCGAAGTGAGCTTCTGTCCTTGACTTCATGTGTGATTAGCCAATTTTGTCTGTGTGTAGCACATGTCTCGCGGGCTGTTGACCACTGACTGATTGTCAGCGGCCCAAGAAGGATAAAACTTCTCAGACCTACATTCGGATCTTGGCCGTGTCAACGTAAGGAAAAAGTCTGTTGGGAGACCTCATCATGCATCTTGCATCCCAAATCATACAACAGCTATTGAAGGACCATGAGTTCCACGGAAGAAGTAGGAGAAGCACGGCGCATCTGGCAGGTATCAACCTACCAAAGCTCATGGCTTCTTGATGGGACCCTGGTGAATTCTCCGCATTGAGCAATGGATGCCGAAGATGCGGACTTGGACGATGTTGACTTCACCAGTGCCAGTGCTCCATTAGATGAGCACGAAAACCCTGCTGATTTGGCCGAGACTTCTGTTTCAGCAGTGTCCGCAGATGCTCGTTCCATCACTGGCACCAGTGAGGCAGAGTTGGATGATTTGGGATCAGCAGGCATCGCAGCCCTGGAAGCCAGGCTACGCTTGTCTCCCAGACTTGGAGCAGGTGCTTTTCCTGTCTGCGCCCAACCTCCAGCCACTGCCCCATCCTTCCTTGAGCAGATGTTGGCCTCCCGAGATTCCAAGATTCATGAACTTCAAGAGAAGCTTGATAAGGACTATCGCTTCGTGCAGCAGGATGCGGAAGCAAATGCCCGCCGAGCCACTCTTCTTGAAGAAACGCTGGCCTTGAAAGACGAGAAGATCGCCGAGTTGCAATCTAAAGTTGACGGGCTGCGTGAGAAAAAACGTGAGCTGGTCCGGAAGGCCGAGCTCGAGCATGTGAACACTACTCAGGAAGTGCGTGACCAGGTGAATGCAGAGATCCGCCGCTTTCAGGAGAAAGCACAGGCAGACATTGAGGCCGTGCGCAGCAGCTTGGCAGCGTTGCATCAGAAGGAGGTGAGCATGCTCCAAGAGCGTGTGAACATAGCAGAGGAGCGCTGTCTGGGCCTGCAGTCTCGCTTGGACAATGAGGAGCAAGCGCACCAGGCGCTCCAGCTGTCCGCCAGTCGCGTGCGAGCCGAGTTGCAGAATGAGATCACCGAGCTTACGGGCTCCCTGAAGCTCAGGGTGTTTGAGATTGAGCGTGCCTCGCTGACCCATGAAGAAGTGAGCAGTGCTCGCCAGAAGCTCGATGCTGAGAATGAGGCCCTCAAAAAACAGGTGGATACTCTGCGCAAAGAGTTTTACAACCTGGAACTTCAGTACAAGGAAGGCCGCGCGAGCGAAAGAGCAGAGCTCGCCTCCTTGCGGGAGCAGATGAAGGGCTATTTAGCCTTGGAACGAGACCTGGATGCTGCCATAGCAGGGTGCGCAGATGCGCCCCTGGCGTCTTCTGTGGATGCTCAGGAAGCGCTCCTCATTGGGACGACCTTGGGTAGCGCACCCGCAAGTGCTCAGCGGCGCATTCAGCAAAGTCTTCTTCTAGCGCAGGAGCTGCAGCGGCGTTCCCGTGAATTACGGCAGCAGACGGCAGCATCTGAAGAAGCTCAGAAGGAGATCTCCCGTTTGAAGCAGGAGTTGGACATGGCCCAACTGCAGGCTCGTGCCACCGGCAGCTCGGAACCGCAGGCCTACTTGCAGAATTCACTGCGGGAGTGCCAGGCGGAGGTTTCTCGCGTGAAGTTGGAGCTGAAGTCCTGCAAGCAGGACCTGTTGCTCGCCCAACAGCGAGCTGAGGGTGCTCAGCGGGCCCGGCTCCAAGTGGAGGAGGACATGAGGAAGCTGCTGTCATCAAGGGATTTCCTCCAGCAGCTGAAGCAAGAGATGGACAGTCTCAAACAGACGTCTGCTGTGCCGCTGAAGCAACAATTGCCAGCTTCTGTTGTGAAATGATGCGGCCAGTTTGTGTAATTCATTGGAAGGTCGCGCCAGCCATGCGACATGTGCATAGTCTTGCCTAAGGTTGGAAATGGACCGAATAGTCACGACCCAGCAGCAAGGATCACATACAGGACGTCAACATGGTTTTGTTCTTTCTCCAGCCATGGCGCCCGAGTCTTGCACGCCAGTCGGCTACGATACTGGCCAACAAGATAAAAGGGGCGTCCGCGTTGCACCCTAATTCTGCAGGCAGGAGGAGGTCATAAATGTCATAAGGTTAAGAATGTCATTATGCCAGGCCATGGTTATTTACTGAAATCCTGCAAATTTCGCTGTTTTCCAAGCTAGCTCCATTTCTCCCCGAAGAAAGGCTTCTTGGTTGCAAACGCCAGGCATGAGCGCACCTTCCGGCCTTGGATTCGGCGAAAGTTTCCTGGAAAGCAGCACTCCAAGTTGGACTTCCTGCTTGAACGTCTAAGCGGCTTAGTTCAGCTTCAGCCGGCGCCAGCTCAGCATAGCTCAGCGATACTGTTAGTATCCTGGCAGAGTGCCACAATGACTGGCGAGGCTTGTCCTGGCGCTCGAGCCTGCTGAATTGAAGCCAGATTGGGATGAAGTAGCCTGGGCCCAAGCGATTTCCTTAAGCCGTGCAGGATGTTCAGTCATTTGCAAGCCCATGCCCACCTCATGAGAGGCAGCAGGCAGAGCCACATTGTTTTGACATGCTCTTCGCTGTTCTCCTTGCATCCTGAGCTGCCTGTTAAATTCTGAAGCTGGCTACCCCAAGGCTGCAAAAGTGATGCTGGCAGTGAAGCGTCCAAAGCCTCTCCTGGCAGGCTCGAAGTCAGGACACCTTGGCAGGTCATTAAAGACCAAGTCATTCCAGCATCCTTCTCAGGGGCCGGCTTTGCAGTTGCAGTGGCGCTCATTGCCGCCATAGCAGTGACAGCGTCACAGCCGTACCCGGCCCTGCCGGAGGTTTTCCCGCTGGACGCTTAATCGGGATACATCCCAAAAGCCCACAGGTATTGTGCTCTGCCATGTCATGCATGCAGCTGAACCGCCATACCACCCGTCTAGAGTAGCAGGATCAACGCTACCGCTCACTGCGAGGGGCTACTGAATCGAAAGATGCTGGAATTGACCTTGACAGCAGCCAATGCTTGTCGTGCGCTTGACATGCTGCGCCTTGTCCACGGTTTGGCCCAGGCCAGAGCACCATCGTGAAGCCGGGCGACCCATGCATCATAGCTTTGCGCCGTCTGCGCTGGCAGAGGACTAGTCGACAAATTGTTTGCTGTTCAATGTTTCGTTCACTTTCTTGACAGTAATTACCTGCTACCGTTTCGAAGCTATACAGTACCAGTTACTTGCGTTATCTTTCTGGGCCTGGAAGCATTCATCAGCCAGGAGCAAGCCCCGCTCACTATCCAGATGTGTGAGCCGGGACGCCGGACCCCAAAGCCAGCCTGTCCATGAGTGCATGGAAAATCGAACACTGGGGGTTGGGTCTCCAGGGTTATTGGTTAATTTGGAGAACCTGCCATTGCATTTGTGGGGGGGAGGGGGGTCAAAAAAAAGCAAATAAGGATCAAAAAGAAAACAACTAAGGATCAACAAAAAAACAGATAAGGATCAACAAAAACAACAAAATCCTTGATTTTATAGTAAAACACAGTATTTGTGGCCTCCCGAGCAAGGATAAAAAGAAAACAAAATATTCGAGCCCCAGGCCGGATGAGGAAAGAAAGAAAGAAATAAATACAGAAAGAAAACAGGAATGAATAAAGAAAGAAACATAAAGAACACAAGAAAAGAATGAAGACGAGGAAGGAAGGAAAA